TGCCTAAGGCCCTGTATGAGTACTGCTGCCTCACTCTAGGTATTGATTGGATGCCTATCTCCTGCCCAAGTCTCTGAGTGATTCACATATCACACAAGATAGGCATGGCCTGGCTATCTTTTGTGCAGAGTCTGAATTCATTAGGCATGCTCCAAGGCCAGACCCCTGAGCAAGCTCCATTCAAAAAATGGCCAGAGGAGAGGAGCTTGTGCCAGTGCCCACCTTATGAATTTTAGACCGACACCTGGGCTGTGGAAAACCTGGATTCAATTTATCCTTCTACTTGATCGAGACAAAAGATTCAAAGAGATGTTTCCTACCTCCTTGAAGACATGGTCTAACCACAGAGCTATGGGATATTTTAATGTGGGGACTCTCTGTACTGTGCAGCCTAAATAAATAGTGACCAGAAGAGGAGATATAGAAATTGGTCTTCCAACTTCCAGGTGGGTTCTATAAATGCCAGAGAACAGTGGCATTCTATCTCTCTGGCTCAAGATTAATCATTTGAAACTATTCCATTGTGTATAAATACTGAGAGAGTTATAACAAATGTCCTCCCCCATCCTCTGGCTTCTTGCAAAAATGGCATAGATGCTTAATGCCAAGAGAGGGTTTGAATCTGAGAATCCTATGCAGAGGGATGAGCCACACTGAAGCTTGGATTTAGGCACTGTGCTCCCCCTCATTTTGGTACTTCTCACTGGCTAGTTTAGTGGAGAAGACCCTTAGCAAGCTGTTGTTTGAGAATTCTTTTATAGAACACTCAACTTTCTCAAACCTCATAAAGAAAGCCAACATGCCAAAATTGTTGTGAATCATTGTGATTTTCGAGACATCTAAAATTAAGCATGGTAATGCTAAACATACATAAGTTTCTTTGTGAATTTGGTTCTGAGTATTTAAATGTTTACCTTCCTTCAAGTCATCATTAGCAGTTATAACAGCCAATTTCTATACTAGCTTGCGGGTCCCCTTTAAAATAAATAAAATGATTGGCTTGAGGATATCCACCATATAAATTCACAAAGCTATCTCTAGTACCTACCTTTTCAGTATCTGAAGAAGTGAGTTGTAGCTCATAAAAACTTGTGCTCTAATACCCTAATAAGTGTGTTAATCTTTCAAGTGCCACCAGATTCCTTCTTGTTTTTGCTGCAACAGACTAACATGGCTACCTCTCTGAAAACTACCTACAACCTTATTCATTAATCCAGTTAGACGTACTGGTGTTTACGTGGCTACGTCTACACTACAGGGTACGTCTACACTACAGCGCTAATTCGATCTAACTTAGTTCGAATTAGTTAATTCGAACTAAGCTAATTCGAACTAACGCATCTAGAACTAAAAACTAGTTTGAATTAGCATTTTGCTAATTCGAACTAGCATGTCCACATTAAGTGGACCCTGAACCGGGCTTAAGGATGGCCAGAAGCAGTGCCGGCAGGGCATCAGAGGAGGACTTAGCGCATGGACATGCGGTCTCAGGCTAGCCGAGGGCTGCGCTTAAAGGGTCCCGATCCCCCACCCCGGACAGACAGTTCTCAGGGATGCCCTGCTTGCAAAGCAGTCCTGGCTTGGAGTGCCCGGAGTGCCCACACTGGGCACATCACAGCACTCAGCCATCAGACCGGCTGCACTTGCCGCAGGCTGCCATCTGGGGAGAGGGGCCAATTGGGGGGCTGCAGGAGAGCTTCCACCCCCAGAAGCCCGCAGAGCCAGCCCAGTCCTCCCCATCGGGGGCTCATACCCCATTCCTCCCTCACCTCCTTCCACTTACCCTTCCTTTAATCCTAGTCTTTGGCCTGATGGCCCTATCTGAAGGGAAGCCTTTTAAACTAGCCCCAGCAGGTCCTTAATGGGCTACAGGAGTTCTGATAGGCTGTCTCTCTCTTGCTTCTGGCAGGCTCTTAATTGGCACAAGGATGCATATGCTTGTTTTGTAGCAGCCCTCCTTGCACTGGTCACTCAGAGAACAAAAAGTTATTGGTCCGGTGGCCAGTATATGTGCATTCCATTCAACTACCGTAGCCCAGTGATCTGGGTCTGTCACAGTATATACAACTTCTTCTTGTAATAGTCCCAGGTAAAATGAAAATTGTCACTAGCCAAAATGGTTCTATTTAAAACTTCATTAAATCTGCCAGAAGTGTAATTTATGAAAGGGGACATGGAACATTCATCATGCTGAAGAAGTGAAAGTATTAAGCATTCTGGAGGTATTTTGTTTTAAAACTGGACAATCAACTGTAAGCAGAACTACCGTATATACTTGAACATAAGCTGACTTTTTAATGGGAAAAAAATCCCGCTGTGAAGAGCAGGGACTGGCTTATGAATGGGTTCTTGACTGGCTTATGAATGGGTTCTGAAAGGCAGCGGGGGACTCAGCACAAGCCAGGACACAGCATTCCTGGGACGAGCTAGGTCCCAGACGTGGGAGCTCTGCCTTTTAAATGTAGTAAGAGCTGCTGCCAGGCTCTTACTACATTTAAAAGGCAGAGCTGCAGCAGTCTGGGACCCGACTCCTCAAACTTAGAGGAAAAAATGGTAAAAAGTCACATCCGTGCCAGGTGCAGGGTCTGCTGGCTGGGTGCTGGCAGGCTTGCACCTGGCACGGGCACCATAGCCAGCCCGTGCCCCTTTAAGGGGTCTGGGGCCAGGAGGGGGGCAGACGAGTTTCCCTGGTGTTGGCCAGAGTGGCCACCAGGAAAACCTGGGGAGGGCTAGCCTCCCACTAGTTTGAATTAAGGGGCTACACACCCCTTACTTCCAACTAGCTAGTTCGAACTAGGCTTAATCCTCGTAAAATGAGGTTTTCCTAGTTCGAACTAAGCGCTCCGCTAGTTCGAATTAAGTTCGAACTAGCGGAGCGCTAGTGTAGCGCTGTCACATTACCGAAATGGAGGGAAGCAGCCAGATCGCTG